AAGGGAGGCCACTGCAGCACCCAACTCCTGCACCCGTCAGCTGGCAACTCCCGAACATGCGCTTGTCAGCCGGGAGGTCTGGCGATGGCCACCAATCTCCTTTGCCACCCCGCCCATCCTCGACTCCTCCTCCGCCTGTTCATGTTGAGCCTGCTAAGGCTTGACAGGGAAAGAGGGAGGGAAGGAGGAAGGGACTCCTCCTCCTCTCCTAAGCTCCAAAGCACGATCAGCTTCCCAAGAGTGCCACAATCCCCACGAAAGCAGGGGAGGGAGGGGAGAAGCAAAGGGGGCGAGAAAGCTCACGGCGTGCTCGAAGAAGCACCTGTCAGTGTTGGTGATGAGAAATTCCCCACAAACCCAGGGAAGGGGTGGAGAAAAGGAGCCCCCTTTGGGAGGAAACCACCACCTTCTTCTCCTTGGCTTTGCACTCTCCTGTTTCTCGACAGCTGGGCTGGCAAGCCTCTCCTGGCTGGAACTTCCTTTCCTTCCCTCCCTCTTGGTCTTTTCCTCCTTCCCTCCCTCTCCCATTGTCCCTTCCTTCCTTCCTTTCTTTTGCCTTCCTCTTTTTCCCTCCTTCCCTCCCTCTTTCCCCTTGTCCCTTCCTTCCTTCCTTCCTTCCTTCCTTCCTTCCTTCCTTCCTTCCTTCCTTCCTTCCTTCCTTCCTTCCTTCCTTCCCTTCGCCTCCATCTTTGTCCCTCCTTCTCTCCCTCTTTCCCCTTGTCCCTTCGGTCCTTCCTTCCTTTCCTCTTGTCCAGGATCGGGGCAAACCTCTACAGCTGATCTGCGCTTTTGCAGAGCAGGCAAGAAGCAGGTCAGCTGTAGCAGCTCTCCTTGGCTCCTGCCCAGCAAACTTGCTCGAGCTTTGCTAGCTTGCTAATTTAGCAGAAGTGCAAATCAGCTGTAGCCCGGCGCTGATCCTGGGGCTTCTGCTAACTTAGCAAGCGGCTTGTTTTCTGGCGAAGCTGAGCAAGTGAGCTGGGCGGAGCTATCCCCTGCCTCTGGCAGCCTGTCCCCCTCCCCTTGTCCCTTCCTGGGCATGGAGGGGAGGAGGAAGGAAGGAACGAAGAGGGAGGGAAGTAAGGGACAATGAGAGAGGGAAGGAAAGAAGGAACAATGGAAGGGAAGGAAGGAAGGGACAAAGAGGGAAGGAAGGAAGGGACTAAGAGGGAGGGGAAGGAAAGAAGGAAGGGACAATGGGAAAGAGGAAGGGAAGGAGGAAGAGACTAAGAGAGGTGAAGGAAAGGAAGGAAAGAAGGAAGGGACAATGGGAGAGAGGGAGGGAAGGAGGAAGAGACTAAGAAGGAGGTGAAGGAAAGGAAGGAAAGAAAGAAGGGACAATGAGAAAGAGGGAGGGAGGAAGAGACTAAGGGAGGTGAAGGAAAGAAAGGAAAGAAGGAAGGGACAATGGGAAAGAGGGAGGGAGGGAGGGAGGAAGAGACTAAGGGAGGTGAAGGGAAGGAAGAAGGAAGGAAGGGACAATGGGAGAGAGGGAGGAAAGGAGGAAGAGACTAAGAAGGAGGTGAAGGAAAGGAAGGAAAGAAGGGACAATGGGAAAGAGGGAGGGAGGGAGGAAGAGACTAAGGGAGGTGAAGGAAAGGAAGGAAAGAAGGAAGGAAGGAAGGGACAATGGGAAAGAGGGAGGGAGGGAGGAAGAGACTAAGGGAGGTGAAGGAAAGGAAGAAGGAAGAAGGGACAATGGGAGAGAGGGACGAAAGGAGGAAGAGACTAAGAAAGGTGAAAGAAAGGAAGGAAAGAAGGGACAATGGGAAAGAGGGAGGGAGGAAGAGACTAAGGGAGGTGAAGGAAAGAAGGAAGGAAGGAAGGGACAGTGGGAGAGAGGGAGTGAAGGAGAAAGAGACTAAGAAGGAGGTGAAGGAAAGGAAGAAAAGAAGGAAGGGACAATGGGAGAGGGAGGGAAGGATGAAGAGACTAAGAGGGAGGTGAAGGAAAGGAAGAAAAGAAGGAAGGGACAAGGGGAGAGAAGGGAGGGAAGGAAGGCAGGCACCCACCCCAGTCCCATCCCAGAGACCCACAGATTCCTCCCCACAGGCATTGATCGTGTGACCCTGGGACACTGTGAACGTCATAAGTATGAATCAGTTGTCAAGCATCCGAATGTAAATCACATGACCCTGGGGATGCTGCAACAATCATAAGTGTGAAAAATGATCATAATTCGCTTTTTCAGTGCTGTTGTAACTTCAAACAGTCACTAAGCGAATTGTTGTAAGTCGAGGACTACCTATACTTTCCCATTTTTCCCTCTTTTTTTGGTCAAGTTTTTGATACCCCCCCTGGCCAGCTGGATGCGGGGTTGGGGGTCACCACAACATGAGGAACTGTATTAAGGGGTTGCGGCATTAGGAAGGTTGAGAACCACTGGTTTAAACCAATTGATAGCAGTTATCCAAGGTTTCACAGAAGACTATTTCCCCAGTTAGATCTAAAGCTACTCACTGAGATTCTCTCCCATTCAAAACTGGGTTCAAGATATGTCAAGTCAAACTAATTGTTCATCTAGCCCTGTAGTTCAGTCAGGCTGGCACTGGCTCACTCCCACAACAAGCAGATGCAGCTATGGACCCATGATGTCTAGAACATAGAATATAGAACATGGGATAATAAAGCTGGAAGGGACCTTGGATGTCATCTAGTCCAATCCCCTGCTCGAGCAGGAGACCCTATACCATTTCAGACAAATGGTTGTCCAATCTCTTTTTGAAAGCCTCCAGCGATGGAGCACCCACAACTTCTCAAGACAAGCTGTTCCACTGGTTGATTGCTCTCACTGTTAGGAAATTTCTCCTTAGTCCTACAGTAGGTTGCTTCTCTCCTTAGTTAGTTTCCAACCATTGTTTATTGTCTTGCCTTTTGGTCCACTGAAAAATAGTTTGAACCCCTCATCTTTATAGGAACCCCTCAAATATTGGAACAATGCTATCCTACAGGCTAACATGCTGGTAGGAAAGCAGTGCTCTCCTACATACAAACTATACACTCTGCCATGATCTATAACCTCCCTGAAGAATTGCTCTTGGCTCTATCTACCCAGTTTTGTTTTGTTTGTTAATTTGTTTGTTCCTTGCAGGATTTAGCTCTAAGGAATTAGCTATACGCAACTCTCAAAATAGCCTCATTTGACATACAGTACTATATAATTCTGGCCCATTAAAATGAAAGCCATAGAACCAGAGAAGAAAATTCAAAGGCCACCTTATCCAACCGTCTGACAATGCAGGAATCAACTGATACAGAGGTTCTGGCAGACAACCATCCTGACTCTACTTAAAGGTTTTTCATATGGGGAAGTCCATTTTTGAGACAGTTTGTTACATTGCCAAACTGCCTATATTGCTCAGTCATTCTGTCCAATGATTAAGCAAAATTCCTCTTTTTGTCATTTGAATTGACTTGCTCAGATCCTTTTTTCTAAAACAATAGTGATCTGCTCCTTTAATTGTGGACCAACTTTCAAATATTTGAACGTAAGTTATCTTTCCCATCTTAATAGCGTTTTTCCAAGGTAAATATGCTTCAGTCTTCCCTCACTGTTTTTGCATTTTATGTTTGGTCATATTCCAGTTTGTTCGCATTCTTTTAAAACTCTGGTATCCAGTTTAATTAACGACATAAAGACATCCACAACATGCCTACATAACTGGTATCCTATTAAACTACAGAAAAGCCAACAAGCTATGCATCTGTAATCTGTTAGGAATAGAATAGAATAGAATCTTCTTAAAAATCTCCAGTGATGGAGAGCTCACAATTTCTGGAGGCAAGCTGTTCCACTGGTTAATTGTCCTCATTGTGAGGAAGTTTCTCCTTAATTCCAGATTGCTTCTTTCTTTGATCAGTTTCTAACCATTGTTTCTCGTCCTTCCCTCTGGTTTTCTGGTGAACAACACGACCCCCTCTTCCTTGTGGCAGCCCTCAGATACTGGAATACTGCTATCGTGTCTCTCCTATTTCTTCTTTTCTTTAGACTAGCCGACCCCAAGTCCTGCAGCCGTTCTTCGTATGTTTTAGTCTCCAGGCCTTTGATCATCTTAGTTGTTCTTCTCTGAATTTTTTCCAAACTTTCAACATCTTTTTTGTGATACGGTGACCAAAATTGGCTGCAGTATTCCAGGTGTGGTTTTACTCAGTGGTGGGATTCAGCCAGTTCGCACCAGTTCAGCAGAACCGGTAGCTAATTTTTGGTTACCCAGGTCCAGAACGGACTTCTGGAAGCGGCATCCACACAGAGAACTGTGTACAAAATCAGGATCCTTATATAATCCTTGACCGCTTCATTAATGTAGAAACACCACTCTCTACACAGAACATTCTGAAATCCTTTTTTAAAAAACAAATTTTAAGTAGGTCTTCTATACTCACTTCTGTGAAATTATGCCTGTTTTCAAAACCACTATTCATCTCCAGTCAATTGTGTTTTTAATACTAACACACAATTCTGCATCTAATAAGTATACATGTGCCCTACTCAGAACACAAGGAGCTAATTGAATTCTCCAGTGCCCCCTGTTGGATAAAAGTGGATATCAATATCATCCAAGATTTATCCACTTCTAAACTGAAGCTAAGCTATTAAGGAAATAAGTCACAGTTTACAGGAAAAGGTCAAAAGGCTAAAAATAAATGCAGTTTAAGAGTAATATGGGACAGTAATTATATCTAAATAGTACAGTAATAGAGAGGTTACATCTGAGTCTAAGAATGTCTGCCACTTAAAGCCACCTCATTCATTCCCTTCTCTCGCATCCCAAGAAGTTCAGAGACATGTAAAACTATGCTGGCCAATTCTACAGGCAGAAATATGCCCTCTGGCTGCCAAAATGGTATTCTTTATAAACCTAAAAATCAAGATTTGGGAAAAGAAATCCTTAAAAATTTGAACACATTTAGAAATGTAGTACGAGTTTCAGGTTAAAATGTAAAAACAAGCAAATTTCTGCCAACTGGGATCTGGTTTTCTCCCCACCCCAGGTTCTTCTCACCTTTCTAAATTCTGAAGTGCTCTCTGATGCAAGTCATCTTGTGTGCTTTTCAGGGTAGCTGCAAAACAATAAAAATTAATATATCAGGGTAAGCATTATTCCAAACAGTACATCGGAATAGTTGGGAGCTCTTTATTCTTAAAAAGTTATACAAATAGTCTGACATGGGTCTTCAAACAGCATTTCCTCAAGAATGTTATGTTTTATTTTAAGACTTTTTTCCTCAAGAATCTTGCTGAAAAAAATATTTCCTGTCTTATTTCCAGTTATTTAGAAACCAGATACCATTATTCACTTTTTTATTATAAAGAATATCCAGGTAGTATCAGGACAAAAATAAAATATCAGGGTTGAGTTAGGGAATATCTCCTTTCAGTGTGACTCTTCTGCATCTTAAAATGTCCTCTCTATCATTTTTCCCCACACAAATTTGATGATGGTTAGTCTCAAAAGTGAAGGTGGCTCCAAAGTCAAGCCAACTTCATGCCCCAAGAGAAGACCATAATCTAGATCTCCCCAATCCTAGTGAAAGAATCGATCCATTAAACATGAATAACAGCACTTCTTTTCAGTCTTATTCCATAACCTCAGGCAGGTCTCTTTCAAATGGCTTTTCTCAGGTAAGCAAAACGCAGAGCCTTTCTCTTGCATTACACCTTCTCTGTGAAATCACCTTCTGAAGAAAGTCACAATGGTAGTCATGTGATGATAAAACAGAAAACCACTGGCCAAACAGAAAAAAAATCCATTTTTTTTTCTCTTTTTATTTTGCCAAATCGGGAGATGGGGGGCATCATATTCTTTCTTTTCTGATACTAGGAGCAGGTAGTTATTGGTGGTTTTATGATTTTGAAGCTTAATTTTTAGTGATTTCATTGTAACAAACGGACTTTTAGGTGATATTTTCTTCAAAGAATGTGGATAAATGACTCTCCTATTAAATTTTTCTAATAATTCCTTTGTAATTCTATTAAATTACTTTACCTATTATTCCACATTTTTAGGGCTTAATAAAATGTTAAGTTGACTGCACTTGGTGTGCTTAATTATTATTGCTTGAACTACGGTTAACACACGTTAGCTGGACACAAAATTGTCTCCCTAAAACATTTACTTCACTTTACCTAATGTGTCAACCATTTTCCAGAGACAGATTTCAAAAGAGTATGTTGAATCTAGCACTTCTGCATGATCATCTGTGCAAAGCTCTTGGAAGGCTGCCTGAAAATGAAAGCTGAGGGACTGCACCTGCTGTCCCCTTGATATAGAAGACGTGTCAAGAGTCTGCTGCTCGAGAAAGAAGGAACAAAACTTTGCCAAAGGGTCAAAGAGTACAAATGTCCTCTGGAGATGACATAAACTCTTTTGGGATAGACTTTGGCTCCTGGCCAGAGCATAAATAAGCAATGACAGAGGTTGGCTGAATGGCATCTTCACTCATTCTTCTGCTCTCCTGAAGCTCCAGCTAAATCAGCTCAAGTTTCACATGGTATCATCCCAACCTCTACCACATAGGAAGCAAAAATAAATTAAGGAAGTTAGAACTAAAGCTGCAAGTGTGATTATGTCAGTGATATCAAGTAGGACAAAAGAGAATTACAGATGTCTTTCTGTAGACAGTTGGGCAATGTGGGAGATGAAAAAGCAATCAAGAAGGAAGATAAAGCTGGATTGCAAATGTTTCTTGGCACCTTGTGTCAAATTAAATTTCAGTGGGTCACTTTTTTAGATACTAGAGATTATCCATCATTTGGTTAAGTGTCTTCTTTTCCTCTGGCTTTATCTGTAGAATCCATTGCATTTGAAAAGTGATGGATTATATAATTGCTAATCTTTCCAATTCTATATCCTTCAATGAGAGATTATTATGGGATCATTTGTACTGTATAACAACAAGGATGGCTCCCACAGTTATCTGCACAATACTGGTGAATAATGTCTATGGAGATTCTCAATCATCCAGTTCATGGTTATCACAAAGGTGCTTTCCAAAAGGCAACTGGAGTTTGCTTTTTCTTGAAGACATTTTACTTCTCATCCAAGAAGCTTCTTCAGTTCTGAGAAAGTTTTTTGGGTGAAAAGTGAAACATCTTCAAGGAAAAAAGATAAGATAAGATAACCTTTATTGTCACCTTTGTACTGTGGGCACAATGGCACACATCAAAAATGAAATTTAGTTGCCCGCTCTCAAAGTGAAACATATACATGACACACACCTAAACATACTATGAACAACATATGTATAGACCTACATCCCTACATATACGTAGCAATAAATATTAAATATTGTCCATCTTGAATATATAACGGAAGGAGGAAGCTTGAGAGTTTGCAAGGTTAATGCTGTATGGAATGAAACTCTGGCTGAATCTGGATGTTCTGCTTCAGATACCACGAAGCCTCCTCTCAGAAGGTAACAAGGAAAATAGGTCGTGAAGAGAATGTGTAGTATCCCAGACAATCTTACGGACCCTGCTCAAGCAGCGCTTCTGTGCTATGTACTGGATGGGAGGGAGGGAACTGCCAATGATCTTTTCGGCCATTCTCACCACTCTCTGCACCACCTTCCTGTCTGAAGCAGTGATACCTCCAAACCAGACTGTGATGCTGTATGACAGGAAAAACTAGTTGCCTTTTGGAAAGCAAGATGGGACTGGTGAGTAATGGTATACCTTTTTTTATATAATCAGTGATGAGTTTTGGTACTTGGTTACCAGTGAGTATCCATGTTAAGCTTCAGATAAGATACTTTTAAAAATGCAGGTTATAATAAAAATTGATTCTTTAGTTTGCAAGATCATTTTCTGCTCATATAAGCCAGAAACAGAGTTTTTACTTCAATAAAGAGTTAAATCCAAATATTTTCCATAGCTGGGTGAATTTTAAACAATTCTTCCATTTCATTTTTCCAGCTTTCATTATCACAGTATGTGGCCTGTAAATTGAAATTGAAGTGCAGGAGACAGCAACAAAGATAGCTGGAGGTATGATAAAAATGGACTATGTTCAGCCTGGAAAAAAGTGAGGGGGAAAATAAAGGAAGTTTTCAAATACTAGAAAAGCAGAAAAAAACTAGTAGAATATGAAAAGAGGGTGATGAATTTTCTTTCTGCTGGTCTGAGGCCAGGATTATATCAAATATACTTGCACAAGAGGAGAAATTTCAGTTAAAGATTAAAGAAACTTGTTGTCTAAGTGATAGAACCAATTCACCAGAAAGAGGGCAGACCTTATTTGTTAAATTTAATAGACTAAGTAAGTCACATTTGGGAGGAAAGTATGGCATTTCAGTCCTGCTATCTTGCTTCAAAGAGATGATCCATCTAAAGCAGGGATCTTCAAACTTGGCCCTTTTATGACTTGTGGACTTCAACTCCCAGAATTCCTCAGCCAGTGTGCCTGGCTGAGGAATTCTGGGAATTGAAGTCCACAAGTCATAAAAGGGCCAAGTTTGAAGATCACTGATCTAAAATCTAGACTGAGCAGTTATAATACATTTAATGAAATAAATACCTACATGAAATCAAATAACCTCAATTATAATATGTTTAATGAAATAAATATCTACATAAAATCAAATAACCTCAATGTCCACAGCAGTTCTTTAATTCTATAAACAATGGAAGTTAGAACTGATCAACAGTGATAGTTGACAACAACAGATACAGAGGTAAAGTATTTTGGAATACCAGTTGTTGGACATAAGCAATGAATACTCACCTATGTTCAGGTGAAAGGAATTAGCTTCATCACTTATTTATGATCACCAAGAGACATTTTGCTTTATTGTTTTTTTTTATATTGGCTTAGTAAGATTATGTCATGATAATTTAGCTGCTTTAGAAACAGAAAGGCATAATGAAATATTGGCATCAATAAAACAAATAGATTTTGTAAAGCAGAAGTTGGCAACATATTGTTGGACCAGACAACTATGTGCCTGCAGGTTAGTTCTTAACATGTCTAATATTTAAATGCTTAAACTGACTTCTTCAAACAATAGCTGTGCAGATCACATTTGACAAATCAAAATATTACCATCAGTTGCTTGAAGGCTGTATGTCAGGCCTAATGCTAAAAACCCCTTCGCTAGGAATTCTCCAGCATCTTCTCCCATGCGAACAACCATCTTGGCGAAACGTTCTCCTTCCTCCAGCTAAATTGATGAGAATAAGGGAGAAACATTACAGGAAATATCCTTTGCAACGTCTTAATAGAATCTCTAATTCTAATTCTTTGGAAAGAATTCAAGATTAGCAAGTATCAGAATTCACTGCTATAAGATGGTGCTATGCTTCCAGTGAATTTGGAAGAGCAGACTTCTAAATCTCAGTGCATGACAAAAAGCTAGCTTTTCCTAACATGCTGCAACACATTTGAATCCTACCAGGTGAAAGTCTATGATCATTAGTGAAAGATTTAACAGTAATAGTGACTCTGGATTTTGGGAATAAGAATCTGTCAAGTATATCACTTCTATCATTGTTAAAACTGCTCATATTGCTCTGTGTTTCACACATATGGCAGCCTGACTCTTGGGCAGATGAAGAATCAGCCAAAGTTTTCTCATCCTGTCTAAAATGTGTGGGGTGGAGGGTAAAAGAACAGCAATGGTGAGGAGACAGAAACTTTTGACTATAGATTCATTACTGGAGCACAGATCTTGACCCATGCAAGCCATACTAGCCATAGAAACATAGAAGTTTATGGAATCAGAGACAGATAAAACCCCTGGGGGTGGTAGAGAGACCCAGACATGAATTAATAGAGACAAGAAGAAAGGGAAAGAGCAAATGGGACAGATTGTGAAGAAAGGGAAAGAGCAAATGGGACAGATTGTTATCTAGGATTTACTGAACTTAGTTAATGGGCCACATAGTGTGACATTCAACCTCCTCATAACTTCCAGATAGACAACTATAAAAACCAAGCTGATGGGTGTAGGCTGGTGGGTTACATTAAACCGGTCAGCAGAATGATAAGGAAGAAGAGGTGGAGGAGATTTATAGGTTGCCCAATTCCAGAAGGAATCTGGGTGGCAGTTGAAATACAGAAAACAATAAAAAATAAAATTTTACACATCCAGACAATTGCACCATCTACCAAACTCCTCACAACTGAAAGGGGCACCACCAGTAGCCTACCACAAGGCCTGGGAGAACAACCAAATTTTTAAAGATTTCTGGAACACTATCTGGATGGGAGCCAAATGGATGTTTGGGATGGTGTCAGGGTAACATTCCAGTGGGCAGGTGCTGCAACAAAGAAGACAAACTTCCTGGATCCCTCTAGATAGAATTATTAGATTGAGAGCACACTGAATCTGCTTGATCTTACTGGACAGGCAAGCAAGCCTTAATAATGATTAAAATGATGATTATCTTACAAGCAGAAAGGGCATACTCTTAAAAGAGCACATTTATGGATCTTCCAAAGTTACTGCTGATCTGGGCAATATGCAAATCTTGGTCTAATTTCAAATCCTATAGTAAGCATTATATAGAGATCACTGATTAAATCTAATATTCCACCAGTAGTCTACTGATGGAAGGGAAGGGGAAGAGAAGGGAAAGGTGATGTCTGAAACAAAAGAAGTGACAGAGAAATGGGAATGAGGGTGGCAGAAACAGAGAAAATTGTTGTCCAGTCTAAAGTTTGATCTTTCTCATCACCAACTTTCTGACCTCAAAGAATGCTCCTAATATACTGTAGTTTCAACATGAGATGAAATTATGCAGATATGAGGTACAATCTGCTTATAAAAGACTGTCTTTGATATGTTAGCACTCAGATAATAGGTCTTTGGGATCAATTATTAACTAGGCCAGTTGTGATAGCCTTATCAAAATATGGACCACCTCTAGATGGCGACAACAAGATATGGAAAACACCATCTTCTTGCTGTCATTCCGTCTTTTGCAGCTCAGATTCAGTATGATAAATTCTAGCTGTAGGTGCCCAACTACCGGTAGGTAGTGCAAACTGTTAGGTTCTACTTCTTAGAGATTTTGATTAGTAACTCAGGGTATTAACCTGAAACTAAACCAGGTCAGAAACAAATATTTTAAAAGCTTAATATTTAAAGCTTAAATCTCTCTGCAGACATGAATTCAATTGAAAGAAGCCATTTTTTTCTCTCTCAGTTAGTGTCTTGCCAATTGCAATATAAGAAATAATTATAATAATGGATCTTGGAGAATTACTAAGAAACTCTTTTTCAAAGAAACAGCTATAACACCTTCAGATTTTCTGAGTAATAATAGGATATGTGCCCAAATAATAGTGCTTGCTAATAGCAACTATCATAGACTCCTAACCAAGCTTTTCCTTGACATTCTGTATGAGACAGAAGAGGAGAGCAATGATGTTTGTGGGGAAAATTATTAGTGATAGGAAGATACGATGGCACTTGTGACCAACCAAACATTTGTGAAACAGAGATGGTTATTGCTTGTGTTCCCAGATGGATTGAGAGCACAGCAGAATTGCTTCCATCACGATCAATAATGGCATTAATAGAAGAGGATGACCAACAGTCAGTGTGATTTTTCAGAATACCAAGCTAGAAGACATTCTGGGACAAGAATAAAGGACCTAAAAAGATCGGCTAACTCCAAAGATTCCTCAGCTGTCAGAAATAACAAGGGCAAGCTTCCAACTCTCTCCTGGGTTGACGGATGTTCACAGAAACACACTCAGCAAGATATCCCAATAACATATGCCATTGTAACATATAATAATCTGTGTTTCCCACTGCCATCATCTTTAGTGAAAACCTCATTTTCTGAGTAGCCTACTGCTTGAGAACTATTTTTCCTGAGACAGAGGGAGGCTTTTTCCAGCTAAGCATATTATTTTATTGCCGGTTTTTGAAATGTATGATTGAACCAAGCCTACAGGCACACTGACAAGGAATAGAAACAGCGGGTGTTGTCCCCTGGCAAGAGGCTGCCCAGCTGGTGTCAAGAGGCTGCCCAGCTGGTGTTCAGCTGGCACATCTCGGCATGTTGTTTCTTTCTGTTGTGTTTTCCCACCCACCCCCTTTCCTTTAGGTGAACAAGGCCATGCATTTTAAACTATACTCTGTGCATCTAAAAGTAACAAGCAAACAGTATGAGTTTTCATCAATAGTAATTTAATATTGCAAAGAAAGATTAGGTGACAGTCAGGAGCATTAGCATGATATCTTCTTTTTTAAGGACATGAATATTTCTTAAAATTAGTAAAATCAGGTGGAAGATTTTAAAAAGGAGGTTAAAAAATGAAAACAATTCTGTTAACTGTGCAATTCTACAGGTTTAGGAATAGAAAACGAAAGATGTTTTAATCCCATCCACTCCCACAGTCTCTGCCATGCCAAGAGACTTGTAAAGAACAGTTGATATATTATATAGCAGCAAATCCCAAATCCATCACAGTTTTTTTTTAAAAGCATCTGCTTGCCTATTCTTGATATTTTTGGATGTACACTTTTAAAAAATCTCTTCAGTAGATACCTAAAAATGTAACGCTTTATGTAATTTTAATTGTAATTCTAAAAAATATTAGAAGTTTGTCCACAGAAGTCAGTTCCCACCATAAAAAAGCTTTATAATTTCCAATGTAACATGAATATAAAATCAAAGTTCTAAATATTTTAAAACTTTATGATTGAGAATTAGTTTTTTTTAATATTCATGCTTAATTCAAATTAGGTCCTTCTGTGAACTCCTGGAAAATGACAGAAGCTACACATTACAATGCTCCTTTGGGCACCACTAGGACTGCAGTGCGGTTTTCCTTACAGAAGGATATGAACTAACAATTTCCGTGCTGTCATACATTAATGCAGGTTGCAAGATCTGTAAAACAGAGATTGGCTTTCATATATGTATCACTTGCTTGATCAAGTGAAATGGCCCCCTTACCCAAATGTGCATTGGAATGTATTTCCAAGTACACTAGTGGCCAAAATTGTGGAAACCTTTTGGGAAAAGTGTATTTTTGAGGTTTGATGGCTAATAACACCCTTTTTGGGGGAGTAGTATCATAAAATTATATATCAATGGAAAGGTAATTTAATCAAGAATGTAATGCAACAAAGTTTGTTCAATTATCTATACTGTATTCTATGAAAAGTTATAGCCAAATAACCAGAAAAAGGAAGCACAACTTGCTTAGATTGATATCAAGTAGCTTTCCTTCATCTGGTTGTAGCCAATGAGCATGAGTGTTTAGACAGCCAATCAGGTATCATCTTGTTTTGGCAATGAGCCAATCAGATCACAGTAGGATTCACTTATTGATGTCATATATTGAAGCTGAGAGGATGACATTTGTCAGTGTGTTATGTGATCACTATCAAGTTGTTTGGTTTTTTTTTTTCTTTAATTTAGTGAACTAATAAAACATAATAAAATTAAAGTACTGGTGCAAAGAGTTGACTAGTTGCCCAGAAAGTGATGTGAAATAGTATTATTAAGTGAACAAGTCTACAGTTATAAAGAAATTAGAAGAAAATTTGGTGGAAACTTAACCAAAGGTAGCATTTCTACTGTATACTTTTCCCAAAAGGTTTCCACAGTTTTGGCCACTACTGTATGAATAAGATCTGCCCTGCATTGTTTTTAAACATCCTTTCATATTTCTAGAACTCTTGTAGTCACAACATATCTGGAGATTAACAGACCAGAAAGGTTTCATTGCAAAAGGGCTATCTTGAATTTGGTCTGTTGTGTTTGAGAGGAGCAAGGCTGATAAAGAATAATTTATCAAAGACCGCATTATCAGCTTGTGTTACAAACAAGATTTAAGCCAGAACTTTCTTGATTCATTAGGAAAGCTTGTAGCTTTTGGAGAAGGAGAGGCATTTTACTATATTGTAGAGCAGGTTTACAACTAGACAAATGCCAGCTTAATTTTCTGATTGAGCCACATAATTTCTCACCTAAAACACTGGAGATGTGCTGCCAATCACTGACAGTGACATTGGAGTAAAATTAGAATCAGAACAGAGCTGGAGGTCTTCTAGTCCAGCCCCCTGCTCAAGCAAGAGTCCCTATAATATCATTTCAGACAAGTGGCTGTCCAATCTCTTCTTAAAAATCTTGAGTCATGAAGCACCCACAACATCTGAAGGCAAGCTGTTTCACTGGTTAAATGTCCCCACTGTTAAGAAGTTTCTCCTTAATTCCAGGTTGCTTCTCTCCTTGATTAGTTTCCATCCGCTATTTCTTGTCTTGCCTTCTGGTGCTTTTGAAAATAAATTGCCCCCCTCCTCCTTGTAGTAGCTTCTCAAATACTGGAATACTGCTATAATGTACCCCTAGTCCTTCTTTTCTCTAGACTGGCCATTCCCAAATCCTGCAACCGTTTAGTCTCCAGGCCTTTAATCATCTTAGATGCTCTTCTTTGCACTTTTTCCAAAGTCTCAACATCTTTTTTGTAATGTGGTGACCAAAACTGGATGCAGTATTCCAGATGGGGCCTTACTAAGGCTTTATAAAATGATACTAATACTTCATGTGATTTTGATTCTATGCCTCTGTTTATACAACCAAGGATTGTATTAGTTTTTTGGGCTGCTACTGCAAATTACTGACTCATTTTTAAGTGATTGTCCACTAGGACTCCAAAGTCCCTCTCACAATTGCTGTTTTTGAGCCAGGTTTCACCTAATCTGTTCTTGTATCTTTGGTTTTTCCTGCCCAGGTGTAAAACCTTACTTTTCTCCATATTAAATATCATTTTGTTGGATAGGGCCCATTGTCAAGATCTTTTTGGATTTTGAGCTTGTCTTGTTGGCTATTCCTGCCAGTTTAGTGTCATCTGCAAATTTGATGAGATCCCCTTCTATTCCCTCCTCTAAGTCATTTATGAAGATATTGAAAAGTACAGGGCCTACAGAACCTTGTGGTACCCCACTGCCTACTTCCCTCCAAGTAGACATAGTACCATTAAGGACTACTCGTTGAGTACAGTTTGTCAGCCTGTTACAAATCCATCTGGTGGCGATGCTGTCTATCCCACATTTTTCTAGCTTACCAAGAAGTAGTAGGTTGTGATCTTGTCAAATGCCTTGCTGAAGTCTAAATATACTATGTCCACAGCATTTTGCTGATCTACTAATTTAGTCACTTTGTCAAAGAATGAAATAAGATTGGTTTGGCATGATCTGTTTTTAACAAACCCATGCTGGCTACTAGTTATAACTTTATTTGTTTCTAGAGGAACCTGTGATCTGGAAGGGATTTCTTACCAGGACACTCAGAGGAATATAACCAGCCCTAGTACATTTTCAGAGTCTTCTATGTCTCCTTTACTCTCTCTTGGATTTAAAATATAAAACCTCTTTGTGAATACATATTTCATCAGATAGTTGGCTTTGTTGTAGAAGCTGATTTCCCTGCTATCAGTGACTTATTGGTTCTTCTGTATCTTTTATTTTGTTCAATTTGTTGTTTGATGAATCAGTAAATAAAACTGCTAGTCACTATTCTAGATGCATTGCAATAATTAAAATATTTGTTTCAAGAAATTTAAAATATATTCAGATATCTCTTTCTAGTGTACAATAAAGCAGTCTGAAAAATATACATTAGGGAAAACACAGATCTTCTTTCATGTATTCTGATGTCTACTCCAACTTTTGTAGGTAGTTGACAATTACATTTCTAAATGTACTTCAAAACTAACAATATATTTATAGCTTGTTGGAGGTACATAGAATAAGTTGCATTTTTTAAACTTTCTAAAAATGAGTATTTCATAATATAGCAGTTGTTAATCTTGCATCTTGTAGCTGCATCAGATACCTAGTAACCTGTTGTTCAGTGTTAAATAAAGTACTGCATTTTGGAAAACACAACAATGTTGCAGAAATGCTTCAAACTGGATTTGGTCTTAGTATGCTTTTTACAATTGGATATAGTATTTGAAAGGGCTACTTCCACCTGAAAGTTTCAAGCACAGGACTTCTTTTCCAATTTCAGGAGCAGTTAAATCTTTTGCAAGGCTCACACAGTTATTCTGAAAGTTGCTCCTGGCTAGTTTCACATACAGGTGTATTCAGAGGCACTTCTCTGGAATAAAGAGAAGCCAAATACCTCTGGAAGTACATGCATTGCAGAGACAGCTAAGAAGAGATTCCATGACACAACTTACTGAGGGCCTTAGGAAAACCTGTTTTCTTTGAGCATAATTTTAATGAAGATGGCCAATAATTGGTTAGTCTTTTTACTGGATATGTCCATGGAGATTCTCAATCATCCAGCTCATGGTTGCCCCAAAGGTGCTTTTTCCAAAAGGCAACTGGACCATTTTGTTTTTTTTCTTTGAAACATTTCACTTCTCATCCAAGAATCTTCTTCAGTTCAACATTTAACATATGAGAAGTGAAACATTTTCAAAGAAGAATCCAAGAAAGTCCAGTTGCCTTTTGGAAAAAGCACCTTTGGGAATTTCACTGGATACTTTCTGATTTTGCTTTTCTGTTCTTGTCATTTGTTGTGGACTGATTTAATATTAAATCTGTGGTAAGCCATGGTCAAGGCCCAATTTTAGGTGGAAAGCATAATATAAATGATTTTACAGAAAAGAAATAAATGCCTTGGGGATTCCATTAGATTAATGATGACAAAAGAGCACTTATCCAAACAAGACATGTAATTAGAGTGTAGATCCCATTTAATAGCCACAGGTACAATAGATATAATTAAACTTGGACTTCACTAACAGTATAAGTATTACAAGTTTGGAGCTAAACCCTGTAGTATCCAATAGGGCCAGCTGGCAAGTACTCACAGAACCACATCGTAAACATTAAAACCCCTTTCTATAAATTTATCCTGTTGTGCACATATGTTTACTTAGTGACAGCTGCATTAATCAAGTTACCAGTGCAATCAAATAAATAAATCATTCACCAGAATATTAAATGTAGATTTTTAAAGAACTTGGGAGTTTTATGTTTAGTGACATTTCTGAAAAGAATATGTGCAAGATCAACTAATGGGAAATGACCCAACAATGTCTCAGGAACTCTCTGTGGCGTTCCGATTGCTTGAAAGGGCTAACTTTGTGAAGAAAGGAGAAAAGAACGGTAGTATTACCAAAAAGTAGAGCTACTATCTCACTGTTCTAAAAGTTTTTAGTTGGAGATTTGATATGTTTGCATTAAGAATGAATTTTCCCAACTTGATAGACATACACTTCAAATCCAGCATTATAAACTGCAGTAAATAACTATTATTCTTGGAATAAACCATTTCTCTGTTCTGATCAGTCAACAGAACGTGAGCTCTCATTAATGCCCTCAAGGTTTGCCACCTGCATAATTTATCCTCTATTTTATTTCAGTTTGTTAATTACATAGTCAATCAATTAAAAGGAGGAATTAATCAACCTCAAGTGTTTAGTAATCATCTATTTTCCTTCTCAGGAGGTTATTCTTCTGATTTCATTTAATATTTCCAATAACATTTTATTGTTCCTCCTGTTGGAGCAGACGAGTTGCAGCCTTTTGGTAATAGCAAGCTCTAGGCCTGCATTTGATGTGCACCGGCAACAATTTCTCCCACTTGGCCTCTTATTATGACTAACACTACATATTAATGAGATTGAAATGCACATTAATAATAACATCACCAGTAACATGAACTTTGTCTTTGCAATAATAATGTCCAGTGGGAAAAAAAAGAGCCATCTGTAATTAATATTGATAGAATATCTTTTCTGTTTCCCATTTTCAATACTCTTAAGTTAATATTAGAATGTCAATAATCTTAAACTATATTCTATAAACATCACTTATTGAAATTTTTAAAAGAGCCATCTGCTGGTAGGAATAAAACCAGTTTTCTCCAGACAGCAGTCATATCTGTACTGTATTTAACTGAGAAAAAAATCCCATTGTATTCTGTGCAATTTCTTTCTAAGTCAACATGTAAGGATCACACAATACTGGTGTAGTAATTAAGAGATAATTCATTACTGCATTGGGGAAATCAGTTTGAACAGGCAATTCAGACTTTGGTTAACCTCTTTTTTTAACCTCTTCCCCTACCAAATAACAGAGAAGCACATGTCAGAGACTCCTTTCAATAAGCCAAGTCAGTTCCATATAACTATGCAGCTGTTCGTGGTTTACTCCCTCCTCTTCCTTCTGTCTCTTCCTCTCTTTAAGCCACACTTGAGTGTGGCTGTTAATGCAGCACCTAATGCATTATGTAAGAAGCGTTGCACCAGCTTGCTTACCCAGTGTAGAGGTCCAATGCAGACCTTAGCGGCCAGGAGCGGGACAGTGGGATCCGCAGGACGTAGCTTCGCACATTCTCTGAGCACTGAGACAGCATGAGCAGACTGGGCAAGGGAGGAAGGAGAAACGAGAGGGAAAGGATGAGATGGTTAGATAATGCTCAATAAGATGCACAAAAGTTATTTATGCCAAATATTTTTTCTTCCAAAGGACGGGTTTCTTGTTACATGAATATTGAGACTTAGATTGGCTCTCAAAGTACACCTTTTGTTTTGAAGTCTTCTTGCCTCCTGATTCCCACAGATCAGTGGGTGTTCAGATGGTTTTTTGAAAAGTATGAAACAAGCATTCTGCATCTATTCAGTGGTATTATATTATTAGTTCTGTTTTACAGTAGGCCCCTAACAAAGGAAGAGCTTTGGTTCTTTGGAAAAGCTTTGGCAATGGGTGGGATTTCTGCAATATCAGTTTATGTAAAAACGTAAATACAGGTTGTCCTCAACTTACAATAGTTCACTCAGTGACCGTTCAAAGTTACAACCGCACTGAAAAAAGTGACTTATGACCATTTTTCACACTCATGAGCATCCCCATGGTCACATGGTTTACATTTGGATGCTTGACAACTGACTCACACTTATGACACTCACGGTGTCCTGGGGGTCCTGTGATCACCCTTTGCCACCTTCTGACAAGCAAAGTCAATAGGGAAACCAGGTTCACTTAACAACCGTGTTACTAACTTAGCAACTTCAATTATTCACTTAACAAGAGCAAGAAAAATCATAAAATGGGGCAAAAGTCACTTAATATATTTCTCACTTACAACATAAATTTGGGGCTCAGTTGTGCTCTTAAGTTGTGGGTACTTTGCATGGAACTATTGATTAACCAGTCTGTTCTGATGTTGTGAGGTTCCAAACTTCTCTCCTCCCCCCCAAGTTCGTTGGCAAGCCAAGAAGCAATATTTGTCACACCAGCAAAACAGTGTTTCGAAACTTGACACTATCTATATTGAGAGTGAAACAATAGATACCGGTAGGTATCCTAACAAGTTACAACCTGGAGCTAAAATATAAAACGGTATTTGGATTCTAGACTAGTGTTTCTCAACCTTAATAACTTTAATATGTGTGGATTTCAATTCCCAGAATTCCTCATCCAACATGCTGGCTGGGGAATTCTGGGAGTTAAAAGTCCATACATCTTAAAGTTGCTAAGGTTGAGAAACACTGTCCTGGACACTTGAGACACTGGTGCTAAACTCTCAAAAAAGAGAATTGTGATCTACACCAGTGCCCACAATGTATGGGTAATAAGTCAAGATGGTGGCTATGATGATGCAATCAAAACTCCACTTGGTTATTTTTTATGGAAATTGTGATGAGAAGATAAGAAAGAGTTTAAGGTTTAATTGCACCATCACAGCACAGCCATATGGGCTTGTTTGATCATACTCTGGGGATATCCCGCTGGTCAACTTACACATCCTCCAAGAAATATACAATATCTACACAACACACAACTCCCTTTTCAAGGTAGGTACAACATTCAGACCAGTTCCTCTATTGCTGGATGCAACACAAATCTGCCAAATATTTTTTTCTAAAGTAGGAAGTCTTGTTTCATTTGTAGCCATGAATTAATAGTATTGATTTTTCAATATTAGAGATGAGAGGATGGAGTCATAAGTGAAAAGCAGCAAGGAACCAGACAATCTTTAAAACTCTTGATAGTGAAGCATAAGAAAGATGTCACTGTGAACTTTATGGCAAAAGATCACTTGGCACAAAGCACCACATATGAAATGGTGTCCTATTTTACCCAGTTCAAAAAAAAAAAAAAAAAAAAAAAGCAACTGTAGGGATAAACAAGAAAATAAGGCTTGAAAGCAGAAATACAACAATGTATGAAACAGATGGAGATGGACCATGTCAAGGAACAAAATTACCATTTAAAAAGAAGTCTCCATGGAAGTTATAAATCACTCTCTCCCAGCTCCTGCCAGAAAAGCTAAAAGTCATTAGCGTAAGGGCTGTAGGATTAAAGGAGGACTGCTATTCCAAAGAACAGGGGCACTTACAAAAATACATGTCTCTTGGATCCTACAAAACAGTATCGTTTCACAGTGGGGATCTGGTCTGTACTAATCCTGCTGGATCTTACTGACTGGCCGTAAAACCACTGGAGAAATGCACTTCCATAGCTATTCAGATCCCCAGCTATACATTGTTTTATAGATGAATGCTAGCACTTTGAAGTACACCTGGAATGAAAATGTAACCACTGCAGCTTATGAAGTAGAAGTATCACATGGGTAAACTAAGGTATGTCCCAAACTACTCATATATCACTGCATTTTGGATGATGTGCAGCTTCTAACTGGTCTTCAAGAACAGTATAGTACCTTGCAATAATTCAAACAATGGCTAAGCCAAGAGTAACCATGAGAAAGGCCTCCCAATCCAGACCAAATGTATTTGTGCAAATGCCCTCCTGTCCACACCTCCAGTTGCTCTTCAAACAATTGCTGAAAATCTAGGAGAACTTTCACTGACAACAGGATTCTTTCTAGTCATTCTTCCTAGTGTTGAGCCTAAGTCTGTTCCTACCATCCAGATCCCAAGAGCCTCCAGGCACAAGAACAGGGCCTTGGCAGTTTAACCTCTTCAACCTTGTCTTGAGATATACAGTTGTGTATCATCTGCATATTGATGATACTTGAATTAGTGCTATCAAATGACAGCACTTACATAGATATCAAATTGGTGCTTATACTTGCTATTGCAGTATTTGCATCTTTTAATGCTTGTGCTAGCTGTTTCTTTGAAACAAGCTTCAATGCAGGCAGCCTTATTCTGTTGTTTTTGGGCTGTTCTAGATGCTCAGTTATTCTTTGTTTCAATTCTTTTATTTCAAGGTCCGCGCTAGATATTGGAGTTCCTGGATATCTGGTGAAAAATGGGTTACAGGACTCAGGACTGTTGGCTGAGCAACCAGGGCCAGCAGCTGCAGAACTACTGGAAGAAAAGGTGTTTACCCGTCGCAGATACACAGTGATGGAAAACAAAGAAATAATGATCTGTTACTACAGATCAAGTCCAACAAGACGAAGATATCTAAAACGAATGCACCAGTTCTGGAAAGAACAACATCCAGAATCAGAAATAACAGAACAGAGACTAGCAGATCAACGCCGATTTATAACACGAAATAAAGTATTTACAGAAACAGAATTGGACGAACTGCAAAGGTTTACCCAGGGCAAAGAAATCAAAGCCTTACAAGAAGTAATTCAGAATGTAGAGGCAAACCAGGGGGAGTTGGCAGTGAAAGAATCCAGTAGAGATATACAACTGTTCTCATTTGGAAACCAGGCACCTCTACCTCAGGAAGAACAAAACCCTCTAACTAAAGAAATAAAAGAATTGAAACAAAGAATAACTGAGCATCTAGAACAGCACAAAAACAACAGAATAAGGCTACCTGCATTGAAGCTTGTTTCAAAGAAACAGCTAGCACAAGCACTAAAAGATGCAAATACTGCAATAGCAAGTATAAGCACCAATTCACTGCAAGAAACAAACCAACTAATGTACAGCACAGCTGCAGTTATAACTGAATACCTGGATGCAAAATCAACAAAGAAGAAAAACAAACAAACAGTGCACCAGAAAAATGGAAGGTTAGACTAGAAAATAAGATCAGCAAGTTAAGATCACATGCAAGCAAGCTAGAACAGATGAAAGAAAAGAAGCTGAAGAACAAGAAGACCAAAGAATACTAATCAAGAAATACCACTTAGAAACAAGGAAGATCAAGGAAGCACTGGAAATAATAAAGCAACAAATAACAGCTATAGCCAGGAAAATCAGTAGATATGAAGCTCGAATTGCAAACTATAGGCAGAACCTCCAATTTCAATCCAATCAGAAACGTTTCTACCAATCCATCAATGGAGAAACTGCAAGGAATCAGTCAGTACCTGACAAGGAAGAAACAGTGCAGTTCTGGAAGCAGATATGGGATAACCCAAAGAAATACAACAAGGATGCGGCTTGGTTAAAAGAGGTGGATGCAAAAAAAACAGAAGTTGAAATGAAAGAACTAGTAATAACAACAAAAATGGTAGAAAAAAGAGCAAGGAAAATCAAAAATTGGCCAGCACCAGATGAAGATGAACTGCATGGATTTTGGTTGAAACTTCTAACTGTTATACACCCACTCATTGCCAAGCAGTTCAACAATATACTACAAGGAGGAGAAATTGAAAAGTGGCTAACAACTGGGAAAACCTACCTAATAATGAAAAATCCAGCAAAAGGGGCAACACCAGGTAACTAAGGCCAATTACCTGCTTACCAACAACTTTCAAATTACTAACTGGTGTAGTAGCTGATGCAGTGCAACAGCATCTAGTTGAAAACAATCTCTTTCCACCTGAGCAGAAAGGAAACCGCCCCAATAGCAGAGGAACAAAAGATCAACTCCTAATAGACAAAATGATCTTGGAAAACTGCAAGAGAAGGAAGACCAACCTGAATGTGGCATGGATTGACTACAAAAAGGCATTTGACTCTCTGCCACATGATTGGATAATAAAGTGCCTAGAAATAACAGGAGTCAGTAGAAACATCAGAAAATTTGTGCAAAGATCGATGGCACAATGGAAGACACAGTTGCAGATCAATGGTGAGAGACTGGGAGAGGTTAATATCAAGAGAGGAATATTTCAAAGAGATTCATTATCACCATTACTATTTGTTATTGCACTGTTTCCTCTGTCAACAATACTGAATAACTCAGGACATGGCTATCAAACATCAAAAACATCTACCAGACTATCCCATTTCCTTTACATGGATGACCTGAAGCTGATGGAAAACAGCATCTGAATAAATCGCTGCTCACACCCGTCCGTATATATAAGCTCATCGATATTGTAATGGAGTTTGGCTTGGACAAATGTGCCACACTTAACTATCAAACAAGTAAAAATTGAAACTGAAGAATCAAGATGCCCACGAATAACATAGAAGTCTGGATGAGGAAGAGTACTACAAATACTTGGGTATCCTTCAAACTGACAACATCAAGCACACTGAAGTCAAGAAAAAGATTAGAGGTGAATACATCAAGAGAGTGAAGA